TCGCATACATATTATACAAATTAACAGTGTCTGCATGAAACGTACATAAGAAATCTTAAATGTTCGCAATAAGACACGTCACCTTACGCCAGCGAAACTATTAAGAGTTTCTAACGAAACATTAGCAAGGATCTTGTGCGGTTGCGTGACACTAACCGCACGATTGCGGCGAAATGGCATAGCATCAGAAATAGCTGGCTGAGATTGGCGGATTCGCTCACCGCTGGCATAATACAACAATCAGTATACTGAGGTCTATTCTATCAAGTTCTGAGATAAATCCATTGGTTTACCAAGCTGGAACAGACTAGAATAATGAGACTTATGGATTATTTCACTGCTTCAGCGGTTATGATTATGACCTTCACTGATTTTATTTTATTTGTACAAAAAACACATACAGTGTACAATCAACAAGGTAAATTTACAACCAACAATAAATACAGTTTTAATCTAGATTGTAATATAAAAAAGTGTTTCTGACATGTTCAACAATGATTAGGTTTCATTGGAAGTTAAATCTGTAGATTCTGGCTACACATGAGTTGCAGTGGTGGAAAAAAGTTGGGATTAGTCACCGGTTACGAGTGTTAACGATTTTGATATCGGATATATCATTCTCGCTAATCAGACAGATAATGCACTAGCCGAAAATACTCATAATAATCAGTTCGCTTTATAGTGCCCCAATCATCAATTAGGTACTAAGTAAAAAAACCTTTTTTGAGATCTCACAGTTGATAAGGCTACATTTCCTGGCAAAATCGACCCTATTATTACTACTAATTAAGAAGCCGTAATATTTACCTTGATAAGCCGTCGTCCGTGCAACATGACATGGTAATGAATTAAGAATATAAAAACAAATAGAACGTGTATTTTCTCCGCCGGTGTCCGAAGCAGATCGTGTACATAACGTTTTGTGATTAATTAGTCAATATTTCATACTAGCTTATCGATCACACTTTCTGATCTCTAATGCTTAATTTAGCACTTCCCACAGTGTTTTGTTTAATTCAGGGTCATTCCATGACAAATGTTACCGAGGGTTAAAAACTAAATATGTTCTTTTCGCATTAAATCTGATGAATTTTGAAAGTAAACATTCCAAATTATAATGTGCAACAAAAAAAATCTGCAAGAAACAAGTAATTTTTAAGTTATTAGTCTTCAAAGTCTATACTTAAGTCAACTGTCTGAATGATAATTTTCTCTCTAATTATTGGTAATACGATTAAAAAAAAACTATCAATCTGTGAAACGTTATGCCNTAGTGGCCGTGTCGATGTTGAGCCGTATTAGTCTCCTTTTGTTCGTAATTCGCCTCTCTTCGGTGACTCACTTACGGAGTCAATTTGTATTCGACGCCCGTAATACACGTTTCTTATCCAAACATTAGTTGTCATTACGTTTCCTTGTTTAATGTACGATTGCATTACCAATCAGTCAATGATCTTTTTTTTTGTGTTTAAAACGTGTTTCTTTGACTCGGTTTATTTACGATAAAATAGTTTTAATAACAATAAAAACATCTAATGGACGTGTATACTTATTTCTGTGAAATAAATGAATTTTAATTTGAATCGCATTAATAAGACTAAAATGAAGTAAAATGCAAGGTAGGATTGAAATGTATACGTTTCACGCGTAAAATTAATACAAAGATTCAACTGCTGTACTGCATAGGATCTTCATACTGTTTTTGTATACCGCTACTTGTAGAAACTCCTAGTCATTCATTTGAAAGGAAAAATATGTAATGTTCACAATTAATTAGTGAAAATGGATGGTAAATCTATGGAGAAGAATGTCATATTATAAACTTATTAGCAAATTGTAATATTTTGTCAATAACACACATAAATTTTCTTAGCTGACATAATATTTTTATGAAATATAGGGCAGTATGAAAAATCAATCATAATGAATTGACTGTTAGTTTAGAAAAGATTAATGATTTTCAAACACAAAAACAACACTTCGTCACTTTACGAGCAAGTTTTAATAATAATATTGTAATAGAAAAAGACCGTAATAAAAATACTTAAATATTTGCTTTTACGATTTACCCAATTTCCTCTAAAATTATGAGACCACTGTGAACTGTGCCTATTACTGGTGACTTTGCGATTACGTTTTTAGGTATCGTTTTGAAACAATGAGAGAAAATATCTTCGGCAAACGGCATCATGTCCCGTTAGCACATGCGCACCCGTCTCTGGTGAAGCGTTGCTTATATGTGGGCATCTCGCATGATCTGGGGCTCAGCTGTATAAATACGGCCCAACACGAACGTGGCACATATGGTTAGCACGCAAGCACCTGGTTACATTGTCAGACTTTTATTATATTTATATATTTTAAATAATTCCTTCCTTGTTTTGTGAAAGAAGCCGCAAAACTTTGGTGTCAGACTTCGTGAGCCGATATTAGGCATGTATGACATGGCTCAACCATATTCACTTTCTTCGGACAAGTTAAGCCTACATAAATATCAAGATATGAATAAATAGGTAATTTTACATATTCAAGTTAATTAACTGTTTGTGTCTCATCTGGCAATGAATTTGTCATTCGAATCTAGAGAGTCCACTGGTGAAAAAAACAAACAACGTTTTTGTCTTCAATCAATCCATTTAATGTCTCTTTGAATCACAGTAGGTATGTGTATGTACCACAGTGGAACACGATATCATGTAAAAAAGTAGCAAAATATTTTGACGTACATTTCAAAACTACGTCAACAGCGATATATCGAACATGTAGTTTGACACGCTCGACGTAGACCTGACGCATTCGAATATTTATTTAGGTGTCAACCTGAAATTGGTTAACCACGAAATATGTATTACACTGTTGAAATTGATTACAGTGAGTTGAACGCCCGCTGTTCTAGGTAACAATGGTTGTCGAAGAAAACACAAACGCCATAGGTTATGTGTGATTACCAATTTTATAAATAGCCTCCACAAAGGAGTTATACATTCAATCAATGTCCGACACGTACATTATACGACCTATTGTCCTTCCTGTGTTCAGAAATTATCACTTTGAATTTTTGATGAAACTAGTGGATAACTCGTCTTCATTTCTAAATGGTTTTGGGATCATTAGATGTGCGTGAATCAACACATATTTGAATTAATTTGATGCTTTAATTTGCGATAGTTTTATTATGATAGAAAGCGGAATAACAACTTTAGGATAAATTAGAATGGGTGATATGGCAAAAAAGATTTTTCGCTACAAAATGGTCAATTTTACGGAATTATCTTATCAACTTTTCCTGTCCGAAAGGATTCGGTATTCGTTCACCACAACAAAGTTGCTGTAATTATTAATTGCGATTGCAGCCAATTAATTGAAGGATGTGGGCAATTTGAACCGTGGAAATTGCTACTTCGCCTCGGTGATCGAAGCCCTCGGTAAAATGACGATATTAATAGCCGTTGATTAATGACGGATTTTATCTTTCTGCTGTCGGTTGTTTTATTAGGCTTTTGCTCTTAATCAGCCTGTTATAACACTAGACGTCTTATTCTATAGTCAATTTTAGACTCTATAACATAATGCTGAGCTTCCAGTTTACAGGATAACACTGTTTACACTAACACCATTGAGAGTAAGAAATAGAAACGTCAAACGTTAAAAATTTTATTAACTCATTTCTGACAGACATACTAGGAATGTGTGTAATGTGAAACCTTGAGTAGATAATTCGATGATAGTCACGATATCAAATGCACACATGCATCGCAGTTACACAGTAACTAATGACACGTTCGGAATCATATTTCGCCTGCATTAAACATGTTTGTTACGCAAATAAGAGATATACAGTAATGACGCGCCGTTACGTACTCTGTCGATGGATGTTATCTCCAAACCCGAGTCGCTCACCCGAAACTGTCTATTTTAAAACTCCCACATTGTGGCTGGCCATGTGATGCGCGTTATTTACGTCACGACATGCCGTATTCCCCAAAACACAGCCAATGTCATTGAAAACTCACAAACAGAGATTTGAGGTTACAAAAACGGGCCTTCGCCGGTGAGCGGATCAGTCTTCTTGACCTACAAGTCTCCAACAATGAGCGGTGCAAAATTAATTCGCTGTAAAACGGTAATTTGCCCGAATTCTTCGCCAAAGCTTCAATGCCAGTTTTCAAGATTCGATATGAGTTTGCACGGCGATAACTGCCAGCCCGATCGATTTCTTATCTTGCCTGTTGGTCAAGGATTGGTTAAGGGCAGCCAAAATATACACATTTAAGTAAATATTAGTGCTGGCAATCTCCACAAATTAATTATACATAACCTTCAACTTCACTGAAGGATTTCGAAACAAAAATAATGCCTGAATTGAAATAGTATAATATTATTATTTGGATACAATTCAATTAGGTAGGTAGGTACTTACTCTACTATTTCAGTAATACAAGTTTATTTGATCCAATATCGTCTGGAGAGCAGCTCGATGAAATGTTATTAGTTTTGAATGGAAATAAAAATTCTATCGATCGTCATCTTCGGTCGCTTCAAGTTCTTTCTAATCTAGCGGGAAAAAGATTAAAAATAAATGATCAATTAAAAAACAAAAAATTTCGACCATAGTTTTAATGTTGAAAAATAAAAGGAGTATTTTGTGCCAGATACAATTTCAAATTTGGAATGTCTATTCGGGCGTAAACGAGTCGAGGGGATTTCGGTTAGGGTGGCCGGGACAGGTAAGGCGCAGGGCGGGTGTGGCCAGCTGATCGGGGTTCGGGGCCACGCACACAGCTGTGCCTGTTTACGAAAAATTACACCACTATTGATTTTTATCCGGACAGAGCGAACTATCTAAACAGGTGTCAACTGTCAGTTATTCTGATTGTTTTCTAATTGAAGATCGCTCACCAAAACATGCAAAGGGATCAAGTTCAAACAGCCTAGTTTGACAAAGATAAAGTATGCGGGAGGAATGTGCGTTACACGTTCAGAAATGCGGTAATACTGACCTTGATTCCGGAGCGTCCCTGTTGCTTCAGCAACACGTTCTCCGGCTTCATGTCGCAGTGGATGATCCGGTTCTTGTTCAGCGCGTGCAGGCACTGCAGCAGGCTGTGCGAGAACTTGCGCACAAGCTGCAACGAGAACCCTTGGAACTTGTTCTTCTTTATCAACTCGTACAAGTTTATAGAGAGCAACTCGAACGTGATGCAAGTGTGGTTCCTGAACGTGAACGAGTCGAACATGTGGATGACGTTCATCGTGTTGTCCTTGTCTTGCTCGCGGAGGTGCTCCAGGATGCGGATCTCCTCCTGCGCCTGGCGGTGGAACCGCTTCTCGTTCCGCACCATCTTCAGCGCGACGTTCTCTCTCTTCTTGTGGTCGTACGCCTTGACGACCTGCCCGAAGCTACCTTTGCCGATAACTTTGAGCACCTCGTATCTGTACGCTATGTGGTCGTGCGGTATGTGTATGTAGGAGCCCTGCTCGTTGTCGTACTCGCAATTGTTCGGGAACCCGACGAGCCCGGGCCGTTTCTTGGCGTTCGCGCCTATGAAGTACACTTGGGGGTAGTCGAAGATCTCGCGGTGTTCGTAAGGGGTGAGTTTGTTCATGTAGAGCTTCATGACCTGTTCGGGGCTGGCGGCCGCGGCCGGGGGGCGCTTGTCCGGGGGCTGCGCCGCGGCCGGCGGGGGCGCGGGCGGGCCGGGCTCCAGCGGCGGCAGCGCCCCGTCTCTGAGCAACGCGCGCCCGAACGCGTGCGCGCTCCCCAAAGGCATGTCGCCAGTCATGGCCGAACGGCCGCCGCCAGCTCCGCGCACTTCGCTCGCCGTGGCCGAACCGACACAAGCTCCTTCGCACACACCACTGCACCTCACTGCACTTGCACTCGATGAAGGCGCCACCCTGGCACACTACACATTTCACATCGACCGGGAGGAGCGAGACCCACGCTTCCACTTATGCGGGCACATTCCGTCTCGGAGATACGATGGAGCGCGACCGCGATGATACCGTGCGACGCGAACGTGAAACGCAAACAAAGACCCCCTTCTTTGCTGGCCGACCCGACGACAGAACCAGAGAGAAAATAGAAACGGTCGACAAAGTCATTGAACCGTTCATCCGCGCGGAGCGCACGAGTGCGAGTGAGAAAGAACTACTTTTTGTAGTAGGGCGGGGCTGTACTAGATGGCGTTAGCGAACAGTTGATAGGAGTTCATTATTAGAGACCCAAACGTTCTGAAATTGTTAACCCAAACAATTTAAATCTGAAAAAAATTTGTTTTACATGAGATGAGAAAGATGATTCAATATTTATGAATGAAACTTTTTTAAATATACATTTGAACTGTACCTGTACCAAGCAATAGCTTTAATTATATTTTAATCACTAACTCAATGATTATTTTATAAATGGTTACAAACAAAACTACAAGTTTTTACTAAAAAACCACTTTAATAAGTTAACTGTAACTTATTAAAACTTGTTATAAATATTTTTATTTGTAAAAAGGAAAAATAAATAGCTTACCTGACTTATTTCTTATTCCTTTTAATGTTATTTTATGTACTTATTTCAGACAGAATATTATTAAAGTATCAAAGAGGCTTCGCAGCTTCCATTGCTGATTTAGAAGTATGTAATATTAAATTAAACAATGAACTTCAAAATTATTTTTTATGTAAAAGTATAATTTTGGGTCCGATTAAAATAATTTTTTTCATCTATTTCGTTTGTTTTGATTATAAGTATGTAATATTAAATTAAACAATGAACTTCAAAATTATTTTTTATGTAAAAGTATAATTTTGGGTCCGATTAAAATATTTTTTTTCATATATTTCGTTCAGTGGCGGATTTACCAATAGGCCAAGTAGGCCAGTGCCTAGGGCGGCAGATTTAGAGGGGCGGCAAATTTTAGCTAATTTTTTTTTTACAGGAAAAAAAATTATAATTATACGTATACACAATCCATATAAATAAATAAACGATTAATAAACGCACTGTAATATGTATATACTTAGGTACATACTTATGTGATCATGAATTTTAAAATATTCCAATAGCGTTTCAATAAAAATAAAATAAAAAACTCGTAACACAGGATCTTCGGAGCCTAGCACGAGTACCATCTCTCCACAACTTCGTGTATATTGTTTTATAGGGTGGCCCAGAAGAAAATTCACTTTTGAAAATTCAAGGAAACTAAAACTGTACATTTTTGTAGAATTTTAGCTATTGCAATTTAAAGGAAATTTAGTGCAATTTATTTTAAAATTTACCTTTTATCTTTTATAAATTTTATCGTACATGTGATTCCCTTGACAACATTCGGTCAACATACATCAAAATTTTGGAAAACTTTTGTAAGCGATCCTGCACACGACGCCGCTACCGCGCCGGCGTCGCCGCGCCTTTGCACTGTTTATACGCGCCGCGTGAACACCGCCACCGCGCCGCGCCGCCGCGCCGCGCCGCCGCGCCGCGCGCGAAATTATGCTTTGATGGCGCGGTGGCGGCGCAGCGGCGGCGCGGCGGCGGTTTTACTTACTCGGTGCGTATGAACAGTGTAGCGGCCGGCGCGCGGCGATAGCGCGGCGGCGGCGCGGTGGCGGCGTCGTGTGCAAGAGCCCTTAGAGTTACCTCAAAATTGATTCAGGATAGATGAATGCTGCAGAGTTTTTGGATTATTAGAGTATACTCTGCTCATAAGGTAACCCCACAAAAAGAAGTCTGCTGGAATGAGATTAGCGCTTCTTAGAGGCAGTGAGATTTCACCACTGCTTAATTGGTTTGTTGCGTTGAAAGGATGATTAATTTTTGAGAGCGCTATACTGGTAGGCTGAAAAGCTTTTTGATTTCAAAGCTGCAAGATTCGCAAGGTTATGACCGGAGCACTTGGTTTCATTGGTTTCATCAGGATGGTGCTACGTGTCACACTTCAAATGAGAGCATTTAGATGGTAAGAGACATGTTCCCACAAAAAAAATATTTCAGGCAGGGGTGACATCTCCTGGCCACCAGGAAGCCTTGATCTCACTCCAGAAAATTATTTTTTGTGGTGTTACATTAAGAATAGAGTATACTTTTATAATCCAACAACCATGCAGCAACTGAAGCTGAGCATTCGGCAAAAAATTGAAAATAGGTTTCGAGGTAATTCTAACGAACACATTTCAAGATGTTGATCGAAAGTTGTAAGCGTCAAGGAAATCTCCTGGGCGATGTAATTTAATAAAGGTAAATTTAAAAATAAATTGCATTAAATTTTCTTTAAATTGCAATAGTTAAAGTTCTATAAAAATGTACAGTTTTCGTTTCCTTGAATTTTCAAAAGTGATTTTTCTTCTGGGCCACCCTGTTTTACCAAGCCTTGGTCTTTCTGTTTACCTTTAAGTCTTTAGACATACTCTCTAATCTGTGCCTTTAAGTAGTTCTTAGCTAATTATACTGCATATAGCACTTCGCATGGCTCTGTGCACACAGGTGACAAATTGTTCCGGTGAGAGAAGCTTTTCTTGCTTAAAAACTATCTAAGATCTACTTTAAATCAAGAAAAGCTTAATGCTTTATCTCTTTTGTGCATAGAGTCAGAACTTATGAAAAAGATTTCATACAACGATATAATTAATGATTTTGCAAAAAAATCTCGCAAGAAAATGAAAACATTATTTGATCTCATTGTCTGACACCAATAACTGGATTGTTAACATGTTATAGGTATTTCAATAGAAATTGTCTGTATTTGTTTTAAACTGCTATGTGCAATAAAAAATATTTAACAAAAATAATGTTTACTGACCACACATTATTTTGTCTGTGTTCATATAGTGTAGGTATTTTTAAGTCATGTCTTTCCCCACCTTATGATTAGTAAGTACCTACATGCTGCTGTTTTTAGGTCAACATTAAACTCTTCATTACATAGCGGCAGGGCCGGATCGTGAATTTGTGGGGCCCTGGGCTGAAACTTCTTATGACGTTGTCACGTAAAAATATCGTCCGTAAACCGACTTTACAGACAACTATTATTTTTTGTTTATTTTTTCAAATTATGGCCTACTTTTTAGCGGGATCTGGGGGCCCCTTGTAACCCCGGGGCCCTGGGCTGCAGCCCAATCAGCCCATAGGTAGATCCGGCCCTGCATAGCGGGTTGCAATAATAATCTAGTAACTGACAGAAATATCATTAAGTTCACAAATCATACTAATTACGGGATTAAACTAACGTATTGAATTTCAAAAGTCAGTAGGTAGGGGCGGCAAAAATTGAATGGCCTACTAGCGGCAAATTTGTAAATCCGCCACTGNAAAATATTTTTTTTCGTATATTTCGTTTGTTTTCGACACGCACTTGACTGGTTCCCAAAAGCAATTTTAGTTTGGGTCTCACAAAATACTTCTGTTGTCTATGGCTACAGATTTGCAGACAGTCGCGCCATCTGTCGAAAAACTTTACAAGTTTTGCGTTCATCGTCCATCCCACACGTCTTTTTCTATTCCGTTGTTTTCTGTCATTTTATTACATTCGTAATCTTGGGATTAAATAATTCTGTGGTGTAAAAGTTTCGTAAAACATGCATGAAAAGACTGTTGTGTAATAAGTAAACGTCCTTACTAAACTAAGAATACCGTGCTGATAAGTGAATGTAAGTAAGTTCTTTTTTTATTTCGTTTGTTGCGATTTCTTTTTTTCCATCAATTTATTTTTATATGTGCATTTAATTTTAGTGTTACTGTGGTGTAAGTGGCCAGTATCTTGGCGTAAATATAGCTTCACATTGATTCCATTCCTCGAGTGCGGCCTGTCAATTGAAGAGTTCGAGATTGGAATCGGAATGAATATTCAGTCGCGAAGTACATTCTATTGTTTCTGTTTAAATGTACGTTGTTATTAATTTCATTATCATGAATACGTGATTATATGTAGTACAATGGCATGTACGTCACGATGTAGCAATACATGAGCCGCCAAGGCGGTGTTGAGGGCACTTATGGACTGGTTATTGTAATGTTTGAACACCTACTTCCTTGTTCATTGGCTTACCAAGGCCTGCTTGTGTGAGATTTGCGTGATCTTGGCGGTTTGCCAGTGCAATTGCACTTCGACTGGCAAAGGGAATAAGTGACTTTTCATCCTTTGTTTATTTTTTTTCTTGTGTGAGTCACCGGGGTATCAAACACTGGAGCTTTAACACTGCTCTGAGTCACCTCTTAAGGATAATCTTTAACCTTTGTGTAGTAAATAATAGTAAATACACATCTGTATTTATTTTGAAAATGAACTTTTTATTTATTTACCAATGGCTATGAATTCGCTAAGCAGACCAAAGTTTTACTAAATAATCCTGTTGACACTTTCATATACTTAGTACCTGGTTTCACTGTAAAAACAGAGGTGAAATCCTTTTTATCTTATTATAAATCTAAACTGTTATCAATCCAAATTGGCTTAGATTTAAAACTGTCTCTTTATACACAACACAAACTGTTAAAAATTTTAGATTATTGTTATCTACTATATTTAAAAAAAACTTGTGTTGGATTTAAATTGGCATGGTTTTGTCATTATTTATTTTCCTTAAATTACTAATAATTATTATTGTTCCAAATTTAAATAATACGACAAACAAAATAATCAGCTGAGTCAATGCTATTTATTTTGTTATTGGTAAATTAATTGTAATGTTCCTATTAAATAATAATATGTTTATTCTAAAGCTTCTAACAACTTGTGGTTTTTGCGATTAGTTTGACTAATAATAAAATTAGAATTTTTCAAAAGGAAATTTTAGTATTGTCCTCCATAATTTTCCTAAGCATTTAAATCTCATTACCATATGATACTTTGAACCTTTTTGAATAGTTATTATTAGTTATTTTCATATTATTACCTGTCATAGAAGTCCGTTTGTGTGGATGTTTGCATCATTAAATTTAATGAGTAATTTTTCAATTTATAGAGAAAACTAAATTAAATGTTCACTTTAGATAATTAGTATTAACTAACAAGAAACATCAAGATATTATTTTTATTAGTAAACAGGTGATATAATAATTTACTATATCAATCTCTTGTTATTTTTCTAGTTTAGCTCCTGATTTTCATATTCTATCATTGCAAATCAAATAATTTAAAAAAAGTTGTACATTTCACATTGCCATTAATAAAATGGCATCACAGATTAAATAATTCAGAAGGTAGCTACAATGTAATCCATTCCTATGTTACTGTNCCTATACATACAGGACAATAACATATTAAACCTATTAAAATACCTATTTATAACAGGCCAATGTAAAACACGGCATTTACTATGTCATCTGTATAAAATTAAGCTGTCTATTTCAAATATAAGCTCTTAGAATCTCTTAAATAGTTATAATATCTTCCAAAGAAAATAGTTTAGAATAGAAACTACCTGGATCATGTACACATGCATAAAAAAATCATAATATTTATCATCATTATCTTTGATATCTCGTGCCTTTCACGGAATCGCCGATACGGTCAGTTGGTTAAATATCATTGGAAACACTCGATTAGATAATTTTACACCGGTGTCATTACATTTTTCTTGTAACTTAACTTAATGGTGTCAGTTGTCATGTTTCCCAATATTTTATTTATTTTTTAATGCATATAAGGGTACTTAATTACGTAATTGGTACATAAGGCGAACTTAATGCTATTGGGCATTCGCTGCCAGATAACCTTTGGGCTAAAAGGAAAAAATCGTTTAGCAGTTGGCATTGTAGTGTATTTAAATCTAATTTACACTAAAATATGTTTTTAGTTTTATAACTATCAAGTTCGAATTGCTCATCTAAAGTGCGTTTCTAAATTGCTGCAAGTGACAAAGCTACGTTTCTCTCCCTTCAAATGCATCATACCCACGGCCACATACATTATTTCTTAGTCATAACGTGTGTTGCGTTCAATTTAGCATTTTGATAATATTATCACGTACAATTGCTTAAACATACTTAGCGTTGTTTTATATAGCCGTCGACACGATTAGTTCATCAAAACTGTGACGTAGAATATGCTAATCAATGGCCAGACGGGCTCATTAAGGTCAATGGGGAAGGCTACTAAGTTATGGGACCTATTACTCCTATTCCCACCTGATAGGCGTCTAGAAACTTCGTTAAAGCTAGAAAATGGCCAATATCGACGATATCTCATGGATTTCAATGTTAGGTGTACAAAAACACCCGTATTCACAAAACAAACGATCCTTGCTTAAGTGAACGGGAAATCGAACGCACAGCGTTGAATAGAGCTCTGTGATTGGTTCGTGTGTAATCCTGTGCGTCGACGCGCACTGTGAGACCTCTGAGTAATGTTTGTCAATATGGGCGTAAGAATCTTCTTATGGTTGAAGAACCATAGTAAGTTATTTGACTCATAGAATCGCTTTGTAGAAGGAAGTTAGCTTAAATTATATCGTGCGTACGATAATTAGGTATAATAATAAGTATTATAATAATAATTTGTTATAACTTCTGTATTGTATATCCTTCTATGGATATATCGTCCAGTCATCATGGTTACACTATTATGGTTAGACGTTCTCTTGTGTACTTAATTTGTCTTAATATTTGGTGTTGTACACTGTTGCTATGCTCACTGTGACTAACTACAGCGCTTGATAGAGATCTTAAATGAATGAGATTTTTTTCGTTGCATTTTACATTTACATTTTCCTGTTAAGTTTTTATGTTAGGTTCAAAAGTCAGATAATATTTACATACCTAGGTACTACTGATACTTCTGCACTGCAGTTTGTTTAATCTATGTAGTGTTTAAAAGTGTCAACTGTGGTTTATTTACTGCCATAAAATCTGCACTATATGTGATTCCGTCTCCCACGACGCGCGTCCTCCTTACTACATTGTTACCATAAATAGATAGCTATCATTCAATATTCATTGAAGTATCAGCGGCAGAATCAGAAAACGCCCACGGTCTTACAAAAGTGAAAGTCGGAGTCAAAAGGGCGGGCAAACGACTAGTCTGGCTTAGTTTTGTGTCCTACATTCAGGATTTCTTATACCTAATCATAGACAATACATTTAAGATGAGAACTTTGGCGGGCTGACTCAACTATAGCGAGATCACGATCGTTCGAAGTTCAAACGCGTGTCATCAACGTCATCGACATTATTTGAATTTTTTACTCTGTGGGCCGTAATATATCAGACCCTGGCCAGAAACAAAATAAAAAGAAGACGTATTATTAGATGCTTGCAAGTAACTGGCATTACCGATAAGTTAATACTCGACTGCTATTTGACGGATAATCTTTTTATTAACCTTCCTGTGTCCTGTTTATCTAACCAATTTAATACGAGTACTTTGAAATCAATCCGCATCATATCGTTTTTAACGTAAATATTGTCAAACTCTAAACAACTAATTTTAGGTGTGACGACAGAAATTAAATTAATTTAGAGGGTGACCTGGTGATTAACATTCTGAATTTCTGAATTAGAGAAATCATCCTAAATTATTCCGTACCTAACTTACACCTACGTAAAATGATTTATGGACTTTTGGACTTTGATCCAAACGTTTTTGTGGTTTAATGAAATATTTTATTTGAGTATGTTGAATATTAAAGCGAGGTATAGGATAGGATAGGTAGCGTAAAGTACCTGAATGTGGGACTGGTCGTTGAGGAAATTCGTGGGTGGTTTTTGTCCAGCAGATTTCGGCATCTGAAACGAACAAATCTTTATTAAGCAATATGGAAATCGGATGTATCGCGCAAAACGCTTCCAGCTGGATTTTTTGTACTAAAATGTTACTAAATGAACTCAACGCGTGAACAGATTTATTTTTGTTTTGCAGATTAGTCTGGCTAAAAGAGTTAGCCAGCAAATCCGTTAACGCAATTGTACTGCGACACAATTAATCGTATCAGAGGATTGCTCAAGCGAACACCTGGGGTTTCACGTGCTAGATAACCGCTGTGGCAGCCATTTGTAGGGTCACGAATCGTCTGGATTTGTATTTTGTACGGACTTTTCCTATTGACTTTGTACGGCTTTTTAACTTTCCCAGACGGTGAAAAAACTTGCATGTAATCAAGTAGACCAATACTTGAAAGCTGTTTTTCGATTTGTTATAATCTATTATTACCGTAAAATTTTCCGGCAAGGCTTCAGATTCCAATAATAAGATAACCTTAATTATGTTCCTTGCTATTATTAGTACGATTTATTTTGTCTAGGACGAGCCACAGGATTAAGAGACTTTATGAGACATCAAATGGCAACCGTAACAGTAGATATTGTAAATGTCTGTAACAAAAGATTAAGTAATTAATTAAATACAAGATCACGACTGCTAACTGTAGTATTTACGATTACTCGAGTATTTACGACTGGTTTGTGAAAGGCCTAACTAACACCAGGATTTAGTCCCTTGCAATACTAATAATAATGTAGCCATACATCTAGAACTTGGGTATTTATTTATTAAAACGTAAAGCACACAGCAGCAACGCTTGAATAAGGGGCATCGCATAAATTCTTTACCTTATTCAGACAACCACCTATTATAATAATATCTTTTTTGCCTTTTATAAACATAAATCCTACTGTAGTGTATAAAAGCATTATAAAATACTAGCTAAATACTACTA